GGGGTTGGATGAAGTAGTGTGATTTATATTGTTTGCAGTGATAAGTTGGTATTTTTACCAACTTCTCTTATGCTTTTTGATAAATTTATGCCCCATTTACTGTGATCAATTGACCAACTATGGTTTGATGTGAGAGCTTAAAGAATGGAATAGCATCAAACAATCGCATAAAATTGAGCAAAGAAGGCCAAAACTGAAGAAGGAACTGAAGGAGCAAAAATTCAGCCTGCGTCGCCAAGTGCTTCAGGTCTTCATAAAAAATAAAAAATAAAGGAGTTGTGAAATAAAGGGGTGATAAAGTTTGAAAAATAAGCAAAGCGTGAAAATTGTGAAAAGGAAAGAACCTGAGTGTTGAATTGTGTAGTGCTTAGTAAGATAGTAGTCACTTACTACCCACAATTCTATCTTACCCCCTATTCAAAAGCCTACATTGTATTCCCTCAAGTCCTAAATAATTCCAAACTAGGTGCACCTACATTCAAGGAGATTTCTATCAAATACTTCAGCTGCTTATTATCATTTTATCACTTTTATTCAAATACGTAACTGATTATTAATAAATCAACTTCAGCAGTAAAAGTGTTTTTCACCACCTAATGCTTATCAACTACTTTAAGTTAGCTAAGCCAAACATGCTCTTAAGATCCTTATTCACTACTCTCCAATAATATAATTATATATACATAGAAATAGATAGATATTGATACAAAATTGACATAAGCTCCTTTTAAAATTTTAGTTTCATATTCAACTACTTTGGGCCAATGACATTATTATTTGCACCGAAGCATGATTAAACACTAATTATTGTTATCCAGTCAAAGATTATTTTCCCCAAAATATCGAAAAATATACATCAACTAAATCTTGATATTCACAAGAGATGAATAATTCCTCATACAATTAGCGCAATAGGATATATAGATTATAGAAAGTTGATTATCGGCTTGTGAACTGCATCTTGATTTAGGCATCACATAGGCCAATTTGCACATTTTCACGGATCAACTTGGGCAACTCTTTTCTGATGGGTTATTTTGGCCATAGCCCAAATCATCCCATCAGCAAAATACATTTTATCCAACCCATTAAATTTCGGGGCGGGTTAGACTTTTGACCAAATTTGCAATCCCAAGATTTAAAAAGAAACCCTTCCAAAATAATGAAACGACATCCTCTCACTCTCTATTAGCGCAAGCATCATCATCTCAATTTAGGAGTGGCAAAATTGACCCAATAATATGAAACTCACCCAACCTGCCAAAGATTTAACCGCAAGGACAAAATGTGTTTTATTGGTCTATTTATTTGGGCTATGCCCAGAGTAATCCATTAGAAAATAGTAGCTGAATTAGCTGTGCATGTCTGATACTGACCCGTGCCCTAACTTCACCCTTGGGCTAGGCATTAGTAGGTAAATAGTCCCCTACACTCATGCCTAATCCAATAATAAAACGAGATCAACCCTTGCTCTTCAGTTCTATTCCTAATCTATACCCGTATATGCTTTATAAACCCACACAGTTGCCAATTGAAATCTTCCAAAAGTCATATTCCAGTTTTCTCTCTACTTTTTGTTCATTATTATTTTCAAATTATTTACGAATATGAAAAATTGTTTTCAATTCTCTTTCTTGAAGGATAAGTGGGTCCCACGTATTAGTTTCCTGGAAGTGATTTTATCTAAGCTTGATTGTTGACACTAGTAAAGCCACATCCTAAATGTCAAGTGATGGCAGTAACTAATAAGAGCTAATTTAATATGTTTGTAGCATTTTTACAATTTTTAAAAAGTTTTGAAGTCTCAACATTATTGGTGAGGCTATTATTTTCACAATGTTTTTTCAGTTATGTGCTAAAATTAAATACATCAATTAACTGCGACGGAAATTATAGAAAATGTTATATAAATAAGAGAAATAGGTATGAAAAAAATGAATCTCTGCTATTGATTTTACAAACAAGACTGGTTGAGGGCAGGTTGAGAATCTGAATTGATGCCTCAAAAAAGAATGAACAAAAAGGTCAAATTGTGCCCAACTCATTTAGGTCCAAATACTGGCAGGTTGCGCGATGATCTACTTGTTGACTCAGCCCATTTTGACCTGCACAATATCGAAATAAACTGCCTTCCAATTGCCCCCCCCCCCC